CCAAATTAGGTAAGTAAATTTGGATCTTGCTTTTGAGAAAATTCTGTCTCTTGGTTCAAGCTCAGGGACATCAGATAAGAATTTGAATTTATGACAATGCAGGGTGTTTCTCTTTTACTATGGGGCAGCATGTGTTAGTGTATTGTAAATCAATGGAGGAATTACTTTGTGGTTTTACACATATATATGTGATGGTAAGTTACACACATCTCCTACACAACTTAACCATTTTTAAGTGCACAGTTTGGGGGCATCAGATACATTCACATTGTCAACTTGTCACCACCATCCAACTCCAGAGCATTTTTTCATCTTCCCAGGGGGAATCTTCAACCCACCTAAGAGTAACTACCCTCATCCACCTCTGCCACCTTTGCAACCATCTTTAACTTTCTGTCTCTGAATTTGGCCATGCTAGGAACCTCATGAATGTGAAGTCTTACAGTATTCATCTTTTCATGACTGCTTTAGTTTCCTTAGCATAATGTCCTCAAGTTTCTTCTAAGTTATAACAGGTATTCTAATTTCTTTTCATTTTTAAGGTTAAGGAATATTCTGTCATATGTGTATACAATATTTTATTTATCCACTCCTCCGTTGCTGAAAATCTGGGTTGCTTATACATATTGGTTATTTGTGTGACGCTGCTATGGGGGTACACATACCTGTTTGAATCCTGTTTCTAACAGGGCTTTGGGACAGAGACCCAGAAGTAGAATTTCTGTTTCATTTGGAAATTCTGTCACTTTTTAAAACCACTACCATACTCTCTTCTACCTCATTTTACATTCTTACCAGCAGCACACAGAGTTTTAATTTCCCACATTCTCATTAAAACTGTTTATTTTTTGTTTTATGATATAACAGAGATCACTAGATCTTTGGAGATATGTGTTTTAAGTCCTTTGTCAATTTTAAAATAGGATTATTTGGTTTTGGTGTGTTTTATTGTTGTTGTTGTTGCTAAGCTGGAGATCTTAATGTATGGGTTTTTCATCTCTTTTCAGATACATGATTTACACCTATTTTATCCATGGGTTTCTTTTCTCTCTGTTGATAGTACCTTTTATGCACAGATGGTTTTAATTTTGATATAGTCCAGTTGATCTGTTTTCTTTGGAGGATTGTAAGCCAATTTTATTGATGCTTTTCATTTGCATGACTTGGGAGTATAGGACACATGATGGGATTGAGTTGTTCCTGCTTCTCACGTGGATAACTCTTTATCAGTGTTATGATTATTTCTAGTTTCAGTCATAAAAAAAATGTGTCCTAAAAACTATCATTCCAGGATGTCATTTTAAACAGCTGCATCATAGTCTGAACCCAGATTCTGAACATCGGAGTCTGCAGGGTTCTCATCATAATTCTTGTAAGGAGAACCACTCCTTGCTAGGCTCCATTATCAACAGCTACGGCTCATGTTACCTCTTAATGGCCAGAGGAGTGGATGGTCTCATCCTTATTTTACTATTGATAACATTTGAAGAATTTTATATTGAATCTATTTTGATAACTAGAAAAGGCTTGATTGCAAAAGCTCAGTCCTTGTCCCAGATGCCAGTCGAAATAATGAGAACAGATTTTTGTGAAAAAGAAAAAAAAATAAGTTTCATTGATTTACTAGTATGTGAGGAAAAGAGTAGACTAACATTTCCAGAGCTATTGTCTTCTCTTCAGGGGGGAAACAAAGGGCTATTAAAGGAAAATTCTGGGACCAGATTCCAAGTGTGACTTTTTTTTTTTACACAGTACCTTTATTTTATTTATTTATTTATGTATGGTACTGAGGATTGAACCCAGGGCCTCACACATGCTAGGCAAGCACTCCACCACTGAGCCATACCCCCAGCCCCACCTAGTGTGACTTTTTTATTCTTGTTAATGAGCTGAAGAATATGATAACCCAGCCTGGGACAGGAAGAATATTAGAGTAGAAAGGTTCATACTCAATGCCTAAAGTAGATCCCTGTTACAGGCCCACTGTTCATTTATTTATTTATTTATTTTTATTTATTCTAATTAGTTATACATGACAGCAGAATTCATTTTGATTCATTGCCCACTGTTTTTGAATGAATCAATAACCATAAAAGTCAATTCATTACTCAGGTAAAGTGAATTTTTCTGCTTATTTAATCAGATACTGTTTTCCCATGAAGAGACAATTATTACAGCTGTTTTCCAATGTTAAGTCACTTTTTTGTCTTCTAAGGACAGAAACGTTTAGTTGTTGTTTTTTTTTTGTTTGTTTGTTTTGTTTTTTTTGTTTTTGTTTTTGTTTTTTTCACAGCTCTGCTAGTACTTGGTTTATGTCCTGGGAAGATGTCATTTCTTAACCAAGTTCAGTATACTCACAGGCTCTCAAAGTCATGCCAGGAAGCATTTAGAAACATTGAAAATCTGTCATCAATTGCAATAAAGAAGTGAAATGCTAGCCATTAAAGTTTTTAGTAGAAAAATCCAGAGTAATAAAGAGGAACTTTAGCAGAAGGATTCTTGAGAAATTGAACACTAACCTTATCTTAATTTATATTTTTGACTTAGATTTGCTACCACCTTTTTGTCAGTTTGGACATTGTAAAGTGGCCTGTGTATGTGGCTTATCACATCCATCTTGATGTGGTAAGTTCTAAAACAAGTTCCACACAGACAAGATAAACTGGGTTTAAATGGGCTGGCTGCAGCATGAAGCTAAGAATCCAGCAAAAAAATTATACAACAAAGAAGATAGTATCCAGAAAGCTGGGGAGGACAGCTGTTTGACCTTAAGGTTCAAGCTTCCAGACTGGAAAGAGAGTGAGCAAGCCTGCAGTTCCTTTATTTATACAAAAGGGGGCTTCAAAGGATATCCAAGGAATGTTCTTTTGCCCAATAAGGTGGGAGGTGGACTGTCCAGGCCCAAAGGGTAATGCCCAACTACACAGCAGCCTCTATAGCCCAGCCGAACACTTAGATCACTGTTTGCTTTGCATAAGCCACAAAATGACTTGTAAGGCCAGACTAAAATCTCCTTGGCTTCAAGGCCAAATAGAGGCTATGCAAATAGCTCAGGGATGGCCTCCCACAATCAGTGATTGATTCTTCTGCTTAGGAAAAAGAAAACATTTTCAGTTTTGTCTCTAGCACCAGGTTGTCAGAGCTTTCTTCAGAGGTGAATAATCAGGGCCTCATCATTTGACATTGCTGGAGAAGCCAACAGTTCAGCTCTTCTTTGGGACCAATCACTGTCTTTGCACTCTATCTAACCTCTGTAACTGAGGAACTGGGTTAGAATCCTGTGTGGAGAATGAGCTTATTTGAATAGTTTTATGGTGTTGTAGTGAGAGCTGAACAAATTAGGGAAAAAATGTATTTAGAAAAATATTTAAATCCAGTAATCCCACTTTAGGGTGTTTACACAAAATATTTGAAGTCAGTTTGTTGAAGAGGGATCTGCACTCCCACATTCAGGGCAACACTGTGCACAATAGTCAGTTCAGGAATCAATCTAAGTGTCCATCAGCCCATGAATGGATAAAAAAAAAAAAATGTGTGCACGAGGGAATGCTGTTCAGCCTCAGGAAAAGAAATTTTGCCATTTGTAACAACATAAATGGAATTGGAGAACACTATGCTAAGTAAAATAATCCAGACAGAGAAAGATAAAAGGCACATGTTCTCATTTATGTGTAAATTCTGAAACTACTGGAGTCATAAAAACAGAGAGTAGAGGCTAACATATAGGGAAATGAGGCAATGAAGGTCAAGGTGAAATCTCCTAAGGCAGGAAGGATAGGTTTTACTTTTTCTGAGAGATACACTATACTTGGTGGTGAATCCAGCAAATAATACTGTACAATTCACATTTGCTGAGCATAAATGTTTTTACCATAAAAATTATGAACATTTGAAGCAGTAGGTATCACTATAATTATTTTCATTTTATTATTCTTTAACATTGTGTTTTTGAAACATAACATCACTTTGAACCTAGCACATATGAATATAATTTGTCCATTTATGAAGAAAAGATAAATTAGATCTATAAGTAGATACAGCACATTGAAAAAACTAGATGTATTAAATTCTTTAATAATTATACTTATTTAGTGTCAAATAAATCACCTTACATATTAGAAGGAATTTTACTGTCCTTTCCCAGAATCATGAATATTACTGTATTATTAAATGTGCGACAATAAATTGAATTGGATTTTTGCTCTGTCCCATATTTCTAAAACTGCCATTCAACATGTTGTTACATTATTTCAAATCCAAAAGTTAAACAACTTGTTGCCCCTTGGACCAGCCTATTTTCCATTCAATTTAATTACTGTGTGAACTTTTAAATTATGAACAGCCTGAACTCTTAGTTCTTCAGTCTTTAGGTGTGAAAAACAAACTACGGACTCTCTTTTTTTCTTTAAGTTAGTTGAGATTATTCATTTGACCTTACATTTATGAAAGTGTTCCTTTGTCATTTAAATGATGCACATCATCTTTTTCTCTGGTTTTTCCTGTTATTTCAGTTGTTTGGTTAGGAAGGGAAGCTGCTCCCTATTTCAGGGATGTTGGCATGAATTCATGAGATACTTATTTCTGTTGAAGTATAAATTAATTGAGTACTTTTCATTCTAAATCTCAATTATTTTACCAAGAAATAAGCATTAATAGTCTACATACATGTGATCAAATTACTTTTTATTACAAAAAAGTATCAGATTTATTTCTGTTTTGATCACTTTGGAAATCTTGTAGGATAGTGGCTGTTCCATATCAAGGATAGCTGTCAAGGCTACTGATGGTCCTGGCCTGGGTGACTGTAGTAAGGAGCCGAGTGCAGGTTTTATCAACATCTCATTTCCTTCCACATGCCTTAATTTCTTATTACTTCTCCTTAAAACCAAGCTGGCACAAAACTCAACTCAAAGTAAATCAAAGACTTAGACGTAAGAACAGAGATTCTGTACCAAATAGAACAAAAAGTGGCCCAAGTCTTTACCATGTTGGCTTAGGACCTGACTTCCTTAACAAGACTCTTAATATGCAAGAAGTAAAATCAAAGAACAATAAATGGGATGGATTCAACCTAAAAAGTTTCTTCTTAGCAAGGAAAAAATAATGTGAAGAGAGAGCCTACAGAATGGGAGATAATCTTTACCACATTAACCTCAGATAGAGCACTAACCTCTAGGATATATAAAGAACTCAAAAAACTCTACACCAAAAAAAAACAAAAAACAACCCAGTCAATAAATGGACTAAGGAACTGAACAGAAACTTCACAGAAGAAGAAATACAATTGATCAACAAATATATGAAAAAATGTTCAACATCTCTAGCAATTAAAGAAATGAAAATCAAAACTACTCTGACATTTCATCTCACTCCAGTAAGAATGGCAGTTATCAAGAATACAAGCAATAATAAATGTTGGAGAGGATGTGGGGAAAGGTACCCTCCTACATTGCTGGTGGGACTGCAAATTCTTGCAACCATTATGGAAAGTAGTAAGGACATTCCTCGGAAAACTTGGAATAGAACCACCATTTGACGCAGCTATCCCACTCCTCAGTTCATACCCAAAGCACTTAAAATAAGAATATTACAGTAAT